TTCGGTGGCCGGCGGCGGGGTTAACACCGGTGAACGGCTGCCGGCCAGTGACCGGCTTCTCTCCGATGAGGGAAGCTAGAGAGAGGCGAGAGAGTTTTAAACTCTCTCAGTTTAGAGAGAGAGAGAGTAAACTGAGAAATGAGAGAGCTGGCCCTTCGGGCCAGCCGTTTGGGGCTTAAATAGCCCTTCCCGAACGACGTTGTTTTGGGGAGGGCTATTTGTGTAATTTTTAAATGTTAAACCCTGTCCGTATTCCCTCTATTTTATATATTTTACATTTTAGTCACTGAATCGAATTTATGATCCTTTTAATTTGGTCTCTAAATTTTATTTATTTATATTTTATCCCTTAACCGTAATTATAAATATTTTGGATAAAATACATATTTAGTCCTTTAGTTTTAATAATTAATATTTTAATCCCGAGTACATATTTTTAATTTATTTTAATCTGATATTCGAATTTTATATAATTTTATTTTAGTCACTCAAATTTTAAATGATTAATTATGAATTAGGTATTTAATTCTATTAGATTATAATTTAGTCACTAATTTTAAATATTTTCATTTATTATAAAGTTTTATTATTTTTAAATATATAGTTCTAATTTTATTTTTATTATTGTTTATTTATTTTTTAATTTTACTTGTTTATATTTAAATATTATATTTATTATTATTATATAGTCATATAAATATATATAATAAATAATAATTTATATTAAATCTTAATTTGATTTTACATAAATTATTTTTTTAATCATATTTTAATATTTATTTATTTTCCAATATCAAAGAAAAGGGCAGTCTTAATACAACTGGATGTCCTATTCTGGTATTTTTATTATAAAAAATTTATAATTTAATTTGTTTTAAATTATTATAATATTTAATATCGAAGAAAAGAGCTGTCTTAAGGCACCTAGAAGTCATTTTCTGATATTATTAAATAAGTAAATATCTTATTTATGTTTAATAATATATTTTCATAAAATCATAAATTTGAAATAAAAAAAAGATTATAAATTAAATATATCTTTGAATTCTTAAATTTTTAATAATAGAGACAATTTTTAATTAATAAAGTACCAATTTTGAGCGTTGTAGGGGTGCTAATCCTTCCCTAAACGTAACCGACCACGAATCCCTTTTTTATTAAAAAGAACGAATTTTTGGTTATAAACGCAGATCAGTTCATCTTTTAACTAATGTTTTCTTAAAACTCTTTTAAAATATATAATTTTTAGGTATTCGACCTACCTGACCCAAAAGGCCGATGGCGACTCCCAAATTATTTTATTTTTAAAACCATTTATTCATATCACTTTTCCCGCCAAGTAAAAAATTCGTGCCCGGACGAAAACCGGTTACGACAGGTCTCAGATCAAGTTACAATGGAAACGGCTACAGTCTCAAATAAATCAAATGTTTCAGCCTTAAGAATTTTTTATAATCTTCCTTCTCTCCAGTTTTTATTTTAAAACAATGATATCATCATTAGAGAAAGTGGACAAAATCACAGGTGATTCCTGTTACCTCACATGGTTGGCAATTAATATGGGATATTGTAGACACCCATTTTTGTCGGGATTTTGATTATTATTATTATTATTATTAAAATTATAATACATAATTACAGACTTAGACTTGGAGCCCAACGCAAGCCCCAGAGCCCATTACAAGTGACCCAGTTATCAACCGAAGCCCAATGGAGGGACCTAACTACCCAACAGTTGATCACAAATGCAGATCCAACCCACTAGGATTTTCATCGTTAGCAGCAGCCGCCATCCAGTTCTAGCCGTTGGATCTGGACCCAATTCAATGGTACAGATCGATGGTTATTGAGGGTTTGCTGAAACCCTAAAGCAAGCCGCCGCCAATGTTCCCGTCGTCGCCAAGCTAACCGCCGAGTCGCCACCAACGAGCCAGCCGCCGAATCATCACCAACGAGTCATCGCTACATCATCAACCACCAAATCAGCCAAATCATCCACCGAAAACCACTAAATATTAAAAAATAAAATAAATCCCGAAAAATCCGAGATTTCACCTACTCCACCACTATCCGAAGCAACCATAAAGAGGAGAGGATTCGGTGAGAGCAAGGGGGATTCGGTGAAGAAGCATTTGAACCAGAAAAAAAATAAGAGGAAATAAACAAAGCCAGAACCGTAAAAAATAAAAAAAGGAGAGAAACCATAGATTAGATGGGCTTCGGTGAGAACAGAAAAGAAAAAGAGAGATTGGGATAGATTAAAACAAAGAAAAACATAAAGAAAACGAGAGAAAGGAAGACCGAACCATTACCGTCGGTATCGAACGCTTCATCATCTCGCCGGCCGTGGAATCCTGAAAGCCAGAGAGCTAGTCTTTTTTTACTCTTGTCTTTGATTCGTGGTAGGTATTGGTGAAGTTTTGAAGAGAAAGGGAGAGAAGAGATGATAAAACGGCCTTTGGGAAGGGGGAGAGAAGGAAATGAGGGCTAGGGTTTACATATGATTTATAATGATGTATTTAGCTCCAACTCAAAACTACGTCGTTTTGGGAAATAGGGTTTTTCCTACTCAGTGTATGGGCTAATCACGCAGTGATGGTCCTTTCTTTATAAAATTTTCGTTTTGGTCACTAATGAATTTTTTTTGCTTGTGATTTGGGTCTGTAATTTTTATTTTATTTATTTTGGTCCTAACTACTGCCTTCTTACCTCTTATTTATGTCTTTATTATTCTGGTATGGTAATTTATTTCCTATTGTTATCTATTTTTGTGATTCGTTATATTTACATTCACGCATAATAGTATGATAATACTTATATATTTATTACCTTTAATATTTGGATATATTTAGTGTATAAGCATATGTTATTTATATAACATGAATATGTGTTTATATTAAATACTATAACTTTAATTTCATTCCCAATTTTATTTTGGTTTCCTTTTTTTATTTTTCTATATTCGATGAATTGATTCACTTTCCATACATCTTGAAGGCATCTTTTAAAGTTCCCCTAAGCTTTTGGTTGCATTTTACCATTTTCCGCTATTTAATTTCATTTGATTCCTAGTTTAATCATACCTTAATTCACGCATCATTTTCATTTGATAGCTTGTACATTGCATTTATTTTAGTCTATATATTACTATTTTATTCCTTTCATTTTACCTTTTGTATATATATATATATATATATACATACGTGTGTGCACTATTATGTTTATTAAATGTGTCTTATATTATTACATATATGTAAATACATTATATGCATTTATATCTTTGTTAAGTATATTTTAATTATTACATTATATATGTATGTTTATATTAGGCGATAAGAATAGTCGTATGATATGTTGTATACTATATATCTTATAATTAATGTTTTGTTTCTTTTTTGATTTAATCCTCACATAATTTGGTTCCTATTACTTTTATTTTTATCATATAAGTAAGTTTATGTATGTTTATTATCTTTATTCTTATTATTATTTGGTCTCTGTCATTTGCATATATTATATCATATTATTCATATGTATATATATATATATATATATTAATTTACCCTTGTATATTTATATATATTACTAACGCTTATTTTATTTTGTTTGACTTTATTTATTTATTTCATTTTATAAGATGCTCAATTTATATTCGGATTGCGTTTTTTAATCAATTATGAGGGAACATCCTTTTACTGATAAGGAATAGTCGAGTTAGCTTTTTCGATGGAGGATTGTTAATTTCGAGATTTCTTTTCAAGTTAAAGAATTTTATCTAATTAATTAATTCGAAGCAAATCAATTAAATTTCAATAAATGAATCATATTTTAACTTTATGTTCGACTCACGATTTCCACCATTACGACAACGTGTAAGCGACACAGTACCAGTTTTGGGCGCTATGAGGGTGTTAATCTTTCCCCACGCGTAACCGACTCCCGAACCCATTTTAATCGAATCTTTGGTAAACGTAGTATAGTTTTTTTTTAAAAAAAATATTTTTTCTTAAAATTGTTTTTAAAAGACGTTTTTAGATATTACCTAACCCAAAGGTCGATGGCGACTCCTTTTCAATTTTATACAAATCAATTCCAAATCATTAAATTTTCCAAGATTAAAATCATAATCGTTTTTTTAAACAATAAACAATTGTTCCACCCTAAAAAAAAAGGTTATGACACATTTTTAAATCAGGGGACCACTTAGCAGTTAAGATCCCCGTAACAATTATGCAATCTAGAAAAGCAAGAGTTAGTAAGGAAAACATAAACAAGTATGAAATTAAAGGAATAAGCAGGGTGCATCTAAAATAGATTGCTTGGCCATCCAGATATTATAATGGAATGGAAGGCATATTCAGGATACAGAAGGCGCTAATATAGGATATAACATTGTGGTTGTATTTTAGAAGGGACCGGGACAAACAGATGACAGCCATTTCAATAGCTTTTTCTTGAGTAATACCTGCTTTCCCAGACTCCTCAATGGTAGGGTTAACCAGAGTCAGCACAGATTATTGGCTGATTCATATTTTATCTTATCTTAGAGAAGATCCTATCTCAATTCAATGCTGACCAACCCTCTAATAGATTTTTCCGTTCTTATAAAAACATCATGCAAACTTATTAGACTCAATGGGAGATGAGATTTAAATGCAATTTATGCCTAACTTGTTTCTTTTAAACCTCAGTAAATACGTAATAAGATAAAGCATTCCATAGCATGATAAGCGAAGTTTTATAATCCATAGCAAGATAAGAGAAGTTCTCATGTGGACAGAATCCAACAAAGGTAATGTTCAGGAAAATGTCAAGAAAAATGCAAGTTATGTCTGTGGTACCTCCAGCTTTAACAATGTCAACAAGATCATCTTGGAGAATTACTAGAATTGATCGAGGGATCACACCAACACCCAACACCTGTGTGCTTTCTTGAATTTTTATTTCCTGATAATCATGATAGACGGTGGTATTTTCTACGCAGATGAATTTAGATCCTTCACAAGGATTGGTCCTCTGTTATAACGTAAATCTTTACCAAAATCTAAAGTATATTCACATCAAATACAGAAGACAAATTCCTTACAAAACTACATTTTAAACTAAAAAAAATGAAGAACAAAAGGAACAAAACTCATTATTGCAACACAAACTAAAGAAAGTTTGAATATGACAATAAACCTGAGAGGGGCCGATTGATGGAAGTGTTATCGTGTTTCTTGTTTCAAGTTCGGGATAAAGAGGAAACCTAGAAACATTTTCAATCCAACTAACAGTCAGCTTACACCTTGGAATATCATTGGGCTGGCTGCCAACAGTATTTCTAACCATCATTCTATAATATGTACCGACCAATGTAGGCCACAAGGAAATAAAAGAGTAGCATACTCTATAATAAATAAATGCATATAGCATGAACTAGAAATCAAGCCTACATGTGCTTGCATTTCTTGCATTGATATGTCCTTTCTCCCTCATACAACTTCACTGCTCCAGATCGAATTACAGTCCCCTTGAGAGTAAGAAGAATGCCTCGGTGTTTCACCCACACACGCCCAATTCTTGGAAATGTCTCTGTTCCACATTTAGATTCACCCACCAATCAAACTTTCAAGTCAATAAAACAAATATAAATAGGTGTATATAGGATCCAAGAACAAAAGTATGAGCAGACCAGGAAATTCAAGAGGAGAGCCACAGACATTGAAACGAACATGAATGAATTTCTTCTCAACCCCTTTCTCATGTGATACCATGTCTTTCAATACTCTTTTCTGCACAAAATCACATCAAACGCCCCCATATTATTGTTGCACTTTGGATGTGAAAAAATATACAGAAAGATTGAAATTTGTCCATAACAACATCAAGATCCTTTATATCTAGATATGTTCCGCTTCTTGGTCCAAATACTATATAAATTGACTCACAATTTACACCCAGTTGAAATTGATGAATATAGGGAAGCTGAAACGGGGAGAAATTGTATTAAAAAAACCCATATACAATTTGGTTCTTAATTCAGGAAAGTTTTTCTGAGGTGCATAAGAATTAACACTTTAGCACATATGTTTGAGTTCGATGAAATTACATGAGCCAAAGTTGCGGCTCGGTCAAAGAATCTCAAATAGTCAGTTGGGCTGACGAAAACGAGGCGGGCTAGAGGAGTATCATCATCCATCAGCTCGGCATAACTACAACAGAAAACAAAAAGAGATAAAAAGGGATGCAAATGAGAAGAAAGACGCAAAAAAAAAAACTTAGAAGGGAAAAAGAAGTAGATATATAGAGGAATAGAGAAAGGACTCTAGGAAAAGAGCATAGTGAAGTTTAGGGTCGGGAGAGAGAGTGATTGAGCGAAGCTGATCGGAATGGCAATGTAACAGATATTCCACTGCCGAATGCAGCCGCATAGGCACCACCTCTTCCTTACGCAAATCATGGCTCTCTGACTGCGGCGACAGGAAACCTAATGGCGGGAAAACGGCTGTAAATACATTAGAGAATAAAGTCCAAAGGGGTAAGAGAAATTACAAGAATTATTTTCAGAAGAAAATAGAATACTTATGAAATTAACAAAAGGGTAAACTACACCATTCTTAATTAACTTTACTCTTTCTACTATTTTACCCATTGTACTTTCAATTTTCTAATTTATTCACTAAACTTCTGAATTGCTCCTTATTTGGTCACTCTGAATTATTATATTATTATTTTGATATGATGAGGTATTTTTTATTATTATTAAAATATAAAAATAATTTAAAATAAATAATAAAATAATATTTTATTATGTTAAATTTAAAAAGATTTAAAATAATCATTGTCCCTTCATCCCCTTCTTGTCACCATCGTGTCACAGCCGTCTTTTGGGTAGGCCCGAAATTGGGCTTCAACTTGAAAAACTTTTAGAGCCACCACTGATCATTTAAAAACAATATTTAGGTTGATCGGATACCATCTTACCTTATCTGCGTTTTACCAGAAATATGTCAGATTCGGGAGTCGGTTACAATCAATGAAGGATTAACACCCTTGAACTGCCCTTTCGGCACCGTTTTAATTTTTCGGTTTTCTTAATTGTAAAAATTTAAATTTAAATCGAAATTTAAAAATTCAATTTGAATTTCTTGCCTTTGATCTATTAAAATTACTACTAAAAAAAGTAAAAAAAGACGTTAGATGGTAAAATAAAAGAAATATCAAATAAGAATTAAATAAAAAAGGAAAAAAATACATAAACAAACAAACAAATCAAAGAATGAAATATTAAATTTTTAAAAAATGTTAAAAAAGAAGAAAATATTAAATTTCAAGGGGAAAATAAAATAAAATAATAAAAATAAAAAATGTTAAAAGAGAAAATTCAAAAAAAATAATAAAATAAAATAAAAAAGTGGGAAAATAAAAATAAAACGAAAAAAAAGTGTTAAATTTTACAGAAAATACAAATAAGAAAAAAAAGATTAAATTGAAATAATTAAAATTCATGGATCAAAATGATACTAAAAATGAGCCGCAAGAGAAAAATAAAAAGGTTAAGGGACTAAATTGCAAAATATAAGACATGTAAACATGGATTAAATTGAATAAATTGAAAACTCAGAGACAAAATTGCAACAGGTGATCAAAACAAATCACATATCAAAATATGATGGACTACGAAAATAATTTAATTATTGGCTAATTACACAGTGGTCCCTCGGTTATAAATACCCCAAACCGAAAAAAATCATTTTTAACCAAACCCAAAAAAAACTCTCCATCTTCCCTCAAACTCTCCCAACAATCGGCCATCTTCTCTGATGGAACCCCACCACCGACCACCACTCGAAAATCGCTCCGGCCACCACCCACGGTGGCCAAAGACCTATAAACTACCCCCTTCGAAAAAGTTCTCTCCTGATCCCGAAACCAAAACCTGATCACCACAAAAAAGTCTCAATCGGCGTAGATATGATAAAAAGATCTTGATTTTTTACCTCTTGATGGTGGTGTTTCATATTCGGCCGACCGTTCGTGCTCCGGTAAATGTCATTTCACCCTTTCAAAGTCCGAATGCCCACGAAGCTAAATGGCCTTCTATTTCTCTGGATTTTTGTTTGTTCTTGATGTTTTCGAAAAACTCCTCCCCCTTGTTTTTCATTTTTGCATGTATTTATAGGTTTGACGGAGGGGTTTGTTTCATATCGATCTCGAAATCATGGGGATTTAGTTGTTGACGAGGGATTGGTTTGTTGTTGTGTATATTGTCGATTTTTCGGTCTTGTTTCCATTTATTTCGAACTGAAAATATCTCTTTGGTGCGATTTGTAATCTGTTGCTTCAAATTTGTTCTGATATTGTTTGGATTTGTTTCTGTTTTGGGTACCGAGATGCTTCTGTTTAGCTTCAAGGACCTTTCACATTTGAGACTTTCCTGTTTGAAAATGTTTTTCTCCTTTCTTTTATTTTATGAAAAAAGAATATAAGAATTTTGTAAAACATTGCCTCTTAATTCAGGCTCACAATCGAATCAAATCATAAACATGAGTTCACAGAATATTAAAAGAATCAATAGCTCTTTAACGCTTTTAAAGTTGTAGCTCTTTGACAAGTATCCAAATTGATGAGATGGCTTCCTAATTTCTAAGGTTTCGTCCACCAAAATGTCATTTTTTCTCGGTCCTGTTGAACATTGCAACATGCCCCTCTTTCTTGGCTTGGTATTTTAATCAGATGCGGACAAATTGACGTAACTAGTATAATCAATTACTAGACTTTCTAGAATACTTCTATTTCGGTTCTCTGAAATCTTTAATTTGTTCATGCTTCGTAGACTCCTCTAACAAAGGCAGTGCTGAAATATTGATCTAAAAATGAAATACCTGAGTGCTCGTGTGAAATTGACTATAACAGGTGTTCCTTAACTCCCTTAGTCCATCTTTACTGAAACTCCTTATTTAGATAAATTTGATTTAATTTTCCATTGTTTGGCTAGCTGAATTCAACTTTATTATATATAAATCGCCTTTATCAGGCTAGCTGAAGGGTTCATCTCATCACAAAGTCTTCGACCTGACCATTGCAGTGGAGCAAACACCAAATTACCAAGTACTCGAGTAATATCATGGTTTGAATGCAATCTATTCATAAAGCCATGGCTTTTGAGTTTCTACTATAACTGATTGCTTAGTGGAATAGCTCAACTTTATTGTATATATATAAATACATTTTGGGTATATGGATTCAATTTCTTAAGTTTGTCAAGAAGAACTTGTTATAGTCTAGGTGTTGTTGAGAGTAAAAAAACCTCATCTTTAGAGTTCAATTTCCAAACAAATGACCTAAGCTAGATTCACCTACTCGACTATTCCATTTGTAAAGATCATAATCATCATTGAACGTCATTAACAAAAGTATGGTCTAATCAGTTTTATAATTTCATATGCAGAAGATGCCCCATGTTGTCCGCTCCTATACATACCTGGATACCAAGCCTCTTGTTCATTCCCTTATAAGAGGAGAAGATTATATCAGCTCTTGTAAGAGAAGCGTATCTTCCGGGGTAAGGTCAAGGTCGTTGTTTTACCAATTTTAATCATGTCACTTTGTCAAAGATCTATAACTCTAAATCTTTTGTAGAGTTTTTAATTCAGTTGATATTCAAAGAATTTCAAATCTGTAAATTTGATTCATTGTTCACCATCTTTAAAGTAGTATAAATTCATTTAAAAATATCCTTACAAAAAAACTGAGAAAAGATGAAAAACAAATTTAAACAAAATGCTGCAAATGGAATAAAGCTTCATGATGGAATGAAATGATCTTCTTTCTTATTAGGATGCCCTGAGTTGTTAAAGTCGATCCAATTCTTGTTGTGCATATTTTGCACGATTCTCTTGAATGCGAATAAGTTTTCGATAGTGTTCCCTGGGACACCGCCATGATATTCGCAATGAGCGTTCTTATCATACCACCTGGGGTATGGGGGCTTCATGGGTTCCACCGGGTATAGTGACACTACGTGAGTGTCAAAAAGTTGTTGGTAAATTTATTTGTAGGTCATGGGAATAGGGTCGAAATGTTCCCTTTCCCTTTCCTTTCTAGGTTATTTTGATTCTTGTCTAGAAGTACCTGATGGTACAACTGTAGTTGATTTTGGTTTGGAGATTGTAACACTTTTATTGGCGTGGTAAGTGTTGATTTTGTTAATCTCTCCATCCATCTCCTTCATAGGAGGTTTCTTATTGGTCTCCCCTTCCTTAATCTTGCCTTACTTTATGGCCATTTCTACCATCTCCCCGGCCATGACTAAGTAAGAAAAATTTCCAGATGTGATTGCAACCAGGTGCTCAAAATAAGGAGCCTTCAGTGTTTGCATGAAGAGCTTCCTGGTTTCCTTCTCATCCAAAGGTGGATGAACTTGCATAGCTAAATCCTTCTATTTTTGTGCATATTGTCTGAAACTTTCATTATGCTTTTTCTCCATGCTTTGTAGCATAACTCGATCTGGCCTCATCTCATTGATATGTTTGTATTATTCCAAAAATGACTTTGCTAAATCCTTCCAAGTCTTGATATGAGATCGATAAGTTGATTGTACCACCGAATGGTTGAGCCCGACAGACTCTCCTGGAAGCAATGGATCAAGAGTTGGTCATTTCATACATATCTTGTTAATTTTTGACAGAACATGGTGATGTGGGCTGATGGGCAACTGTTCCCATCGAACTTCTCAAATTCTGGGGACTTGAATTTCGGAGGAAGAACCAAGTCTGTTACGAAACTGAGTTCTGAGACATCGACTCCATAGTAGTCATAGTTTCCCTTAACCACTTTCATTTGGTCTTTCAGTAGCTTGATCTTTTCTTCCATCTTCTTTGCCTTATTTTCCTCATCAAAATCCAGTATATGGTAATCACCAGGATTATTCTCAGGGTTAATTACAAAAGTCTGTACCTTTACAGTAGACGATGCCTTTGCTTTTGCAGCGGATGAATCCCCTTGAAGTTTCGGTAAGATTCCAGGTGAGACAACCACCTACAGGGTTGGTGGCATAGTTACCCCTTCTGATGAACCTGCCCCAGGCGCACTTGTCTGATGTAAGCCAGCTAACTTGGCAATAATTTGATCGACCAAGGACTCATGTCTCTTAGCGATCGTTTGCAAAGTACTTTGATTATTCTGGCTTATCTTTTCTTCTAACTCTCTTTGCAACCTCAATATGTTCTCTTCAAGTTGAGCAATTTTGGCTTCCATCTTCTTCTTTTTTAAACGAGTGTTATGTGGATGATGAGTGTCCAATGCTTGAGGTGGTATATCCAGTATTTGTTCCCTTTTTTGATGAGACATTTTTCTGTTAGTTAATGCGAATGTAAAGAAATGAAAATAACAAAATGCAAAATTTGTCTAAATTCATGATGTATTAAATGTTCAAGGAATTGATCCAAAAACATGTCTGTTATTATAAATAATCTTTATTGGGACAAAAATGTTATTTTTTAAGA